TTTTTTTGGCGTGGCATTCACAAATTGTCAGACAGGTGGAAAAAATGTATAGCTAGCGATGGGCAATACTTTGAATAAAATATTTTTTATCATTTTCATGCAATAAATGTATTTATAAGTGTATTTTCTATTAAAAAATTCCGATTTTATATTTACATACCTGATATGTTATTACAAAATTCTTAAAAAATTCTCAGAACTTTATGAGAAGAAAATAAATGATTTTTGTCTCTTACAGTGTTTCTGTAAAGTTGATAGTATTTGAGTAAAAAATTATTCAAGACCAATATTTTGCAATTTTTAGTAATTAATATCTCGTTAACTATTGCTGACACCGCAAAATGGTACTTTTCGACTCAGTATAGTCTGTTCTACCCATACACGAAACATTTTCCGGTAATTTCCTGACATCCTGTATATAATTATGTCTCCTTTTATAATTAAAACATCCAAACGTCCAAACAGAAAATCGAATGTGAATCACCGGTAATCCACAATATGGAATGTGTTAAAAAAAGTGTGTGTGTACGAAAAAGAAACATTTCTAATTAAATTTTCTATAAACTCAAATAAATTATTTACTGTTAAATAATACAGAGTTTACAAAACTTTCAATGGATTTACTTTTTACATTGCTTGCAAAATCATTATTGCGTCAATAATTCGCTGCAGTTCGCCTTCATTATTGACTAATTTTTCCATGTTATTCTTTTGAACCTCAAGAGGCACCTTTACATTATAATCGGGTACTGCTAAATCCTGTTTCAATTTTTGTATAATTTCAATTAATTGGCTTTTCTTCTTTTGTAATTTTTCTAACTCTTTTTTTGAGTCAATCAAACCCTGCGAAATATATTCATATAATAAATATACACTTACACACAAAAAAACCTGGCCACTAAGTCTTTTTCACAAATTTTTAATATTTTCAAATAGCAATAATTCAGTGAAAAATTGTATCGAGATTTTTAGAAAAGCATTTTAAAGCTTCAAATCTCTACTTTTCAGACCAGTACTTAAAAAAACAGTACTACTGATATTTTATAAAGTTATTAGGTGTACAACTTTGCTTCCGCCGTTTTTTTTTCGAAATTTGAGGCTTTATTGTAAAAAAACCTGGTTATACATTTATGATTCAAAGTATTGTCCATCGCTGGCCACTACTTTCTCCCATCTTTCGGGCAGCGTACGAATCCCGCGTCGAAAAAACTGGTCATCTTTTGAGGCGATCCACGAATCGAACCAATTTTTTACTTCTTCATAAGACCGGAAGTGCTGGTCAGCCAGGCCGTGTGCTATTGATCGAAACAAATGATAGTCAGAGGGAGCAACGTCTGGAGAATACGGCGGATGGGGTAGGACTTCCCATTTCAACATTTCCAAGTATGTCTTGATCACTTTCGCAACATGGGGTCGAGCATTGTCATGCTGCAAAATCACTTTATCGTGTCTCTCATTGTATTGCGGCCGTTTGTCTTTCAATGCTCGACTCAAACGCATTAATTGCGTTCGATACCGATCGCCTGTGATTGTTTCAGTCGGTTTTAACAGCTCATAATACACTACGCCGAGCTGGTTCCACAGCATGACCTTGGAGCCGTGAATAATCGGTTTGGCCGTCAACTTTTTGGAGCCGTCAACTTCGGTTTGGAAGCATGGCCGGGAACTCCCCATGATTTTCTGCGCTTGGGGTTATCGTAATGAACCCATTTTTCGTCCCCAGTCACAATGCGATGCAGAAATTCCTTCCGTCTTTGCCTTTCAAGCAGCTGTTCACAAGCAAATAAACGCCGTTCAACATCTCTCGGCTTCAATTCGTACGGCACCCAATTTCCTTGCTTCTGAATCATTCCCATGGCTTTGAGGCGTTTTGAAATGGCTTGTTGAGTCACTCCCAATGATCGTGCCAATTCTTCTTGATTTTGACATGAGTCTTGATCAAGTAATGCCTCCAATTCTGCATCTTCGAAAACCTTCTCTCTTCCACCGCTATGCCGGTCTTCGACGTCAAAATTACCGTTCTTGAAGCGTTGAAACCACTCACGACACGTTCTTTCACTAATAACGGCCTCACCATAAGTATTTGAGAGCATTCGATGAGCCTCACAGCCGCAGATTTCTTCATATTGAAGCAGAAAATTAAAACCTCCCGCAAATTACGAGAATTTGGCTCGTAAACTGACATTTTCAATTGAGAATAACTTTATGATGCAGACACAAATCGACTAATGTTTCTATAGGGTTATGTTGACAGATGCCCAACTTTATTGTATGACGTCTATGACCTATTTATTTCGACCACCACTTACCGCTAAAGCCATCTATAAGAAAACGGTGGAAGCAAAGTTGTATGCCTAATACACAAACGTAAACAAAGATGCATAAATTCCCAAAAAAGACCTCTGTACTATTTTTTTGTCACTGAGTTATTCAACGTTGAAGCAAAAACAATCCTTTTTGCTTGAATGTTGACTGGGTGAAAAAAATCGTACAGAGGTCTATAAAAAGCAAATTAAAGGTAAAGATTCATTCTTTCAAAAGCTATAAACCCCATTTGTGTGCAATTTTTAATTGGCGCCGTGGAACTTCGCAAATTTCATAAAAACCTTTGAGAATTTATGCATCTTTATTTATGTTTGTGTAACTTTATGAAATATCACCATTTTTTGAAGTACCGGTCTGAAAAGTAGAGATTTCTAGTTTTAAAATACTTTTTTAAAAATCTCGATACGATGATTTTTCACTCAGTTATTGCTATTTGAAAATATTAAAAATTTGTGAAAAAACTTAGTGGCCAGATTTTTTTGCGTGTGAGTGTAATATATGATTATATATAATAATAATAATTAAGGTATACAGGATGTAACTAAAATAAGATAACTAAAATAATAAACTTCAGGACCGAGCTGCTCACACTTTGAGCTGTATCAGTAACTGTGAATTTGCGGATATATGTTCATATGAACTTTTTTTCATATGAACTTGTTTTGGTGTGAGAAGCCCGAAGTTCGTTACTTTATTTTAGTTACACTCTGTATAAATGTATATTACATGATGTGTTAATTACCTGTAGTAATAGATGCACTTGAATCTTATTAGTTACAGTAATAATAGCACAGCCTACTGGTGGTTTTTGCATACTAAGAACAGAGTATGCAAGAGTTTCTATAAGTAATTTATATCGAATAATTTTTTCCTTTAATGCTGAGTTGCTACACGTGACATACGCTTCGGTTTTCGTTTTATTAGATAAATTATAAGTCGCGCGAGCAGATCGAATATTCTTAATTATTTTTTGCGCAAAATCAACGTCCTTTTCAATTTCTTGATTTCTCCAACAACACTGAAATACATCAGACATATTATGGTATTGTGATATTTTAATTGCACGCTTTATTATCACGGTTATAAAATATATAATTATTCACCTTGACAACATCCGGATACGGACTTACACATATACTTGGATATATTAACTTTTTACGAGGTAAACGTTGATACAATTCTTCTGTTATAAACGGCATAAATGGGCTCAATAAACGCAATCCCACGTCCAGTGATATAAATAATACTTTTTGAGCTGCTAACTTAGCCGCGTTATCTTCACTTTGGAAAATTGTTTTAAGATATTCCTAGACACGCAAATTATTATATTATTATAACAAATTTTTTTCCTCTCTCTCTTATATCATAACGAATCATATTAAAAAATTTACCAGATAAATATCACACAGATCGTATAACCATAAATTGTAACAGCTAGTAGTAGCTAATGCAAAGTCATACTGTTTAATTGCTTCGTCGCAAGTTCCGGCAGCATAACTAACACGCGATAACATCCATAAATCCACATTTGTCTCATTCCCAGTTAGCTATAATAAGAAACATATATTATGAACAAAGAAATCAAAATTTTTGCAACCTCTTTCTAAACAAAAGTGTTATTTATATATTAAATACGTACGACTTTACCTCAAATGTATCATCATTATTGGTTTGATTCTGATTAATGTATGCAAGTTTCGGCATTATTTTATTTTGTTCCGCACGAAATACAGCCTTTTCTTCATCTGTAAATGTCGCGATATGATTATACCAACGTTTAATATGTAGATGCCTTGCGAAATCAATGTTCAATTCTTTCAATGATTGATAAACCGATAGATCAAGTTGCGAAGGTGTATGACCATCGAGATACGAATAATCAGCCAGGTAATTATTTAACGCCTTCTGCACGCACGATTCGTTCAAAGTCCACTGGTACCACTTGCCATTTCCCATCACGTCAATACAAGCATTATTCAATTTCTGGTATAAAATAATACATAATTATATATATACTTTATAAGCAGAACACGGGTGATTTCACAATATTAAAATTACCCTATCATTTGCGTTGTATTTAAATTGAAATTCAAGATAGACAAGTGCGAATTTTGTAGCGTTCCATATTTTATTGCAGAAAAATCTGTATCCTTGTACACGAAGTATATCAAGATTTATATCTCGTCCTTGGGTGGTGTAAGCACAAAGCGCGAATCGCAGAGCATCCGTTCCACATTCGGGAATGCCTTGCGGATAATCACGTTTTTGACACTCTCGAGCTTGTTCCAATTCTTTTGGGTCCAAGTTCGAATCTAACAATTGTTTTTGAAGATCCTAAAAAAAGAAATTTGTTTATTCAGAAATATTGCGGAACATATGTTGCTGACCAAAAGTTTGAGACCAAATATAAAATTTATACCAAGTATAAAATTGAAAAATATTCCAGTGAAATAAAAGTGACTTAAAAATACATTCATGTCTTACTAATTTTTATTTAAAAGTAAATTAGACATTATATTCAGTTACAATTAACATAGCAATGCGTTCAGCAGAGAAAATAATCAGTTAGCGCTTAGTGATTCTTTAATATAATTAGTTCTTGCCTTTAGTTCTTTGCTAAATCTAAGTGTAAGAATCAATCGTATTAAAGAATCATTAAGCGCTAATTGATTAGTTTACTCTGCTGAACGCAGCCATTGTCTGTATTCAGTAGAGAAAGCAGCTTTGCAACTGTTGTAAAATTTTTTGATGTGATTGGTTTTGCCCATAGTTTCTCACTGAATCTAAACGTATAAACCAATCTTATTAAAAAATCGTACAAATGTTATGCAAAGCTGCTTTTTCTGCTGAACGCAGCGCCATTGTTTAATTAAAAAAAAAAATCTTCGTATAATAAGAGATTGGTGTCTGAAATGATTTACATCAAAAGACAAAAACAGGGTCTAAAATGAATGATACAGAATCATTGCCCGAATCTTATTCGCAAATTATACAATCTCTTTCTCCTTCTTAACTGCTTTCCTTCTTACTTCCCTTCTTCCCAATTTCTTTTCCCTCTACTTTATTTCTCTCTCTCTTATTTACTCCTTCCTTCGGCGTTTCCACTTCAACCTGCTTACTAAAGATTGTCTTACTCACATTGTTTCTGAACACACTAGAGAGATGACCATCCCATTCTCATCGCATTGTCTGATAATTTGATATATTTATATTATATTAGTATATGTTCTATAAGGTATATATTAATGTTATTTTAACTGTTACACAATTTATTTTGATATATTTTAGTTTGTAATTACAATAAACAATTTTATTTTATACTGACATATGATCTGTAATGTTATTTATTTTAATTGTTACAAATTGTTATTTATTATTAATTTTCTTTGTTATTCACACATTAATTTATATTTTTTAAATAATAATTTTATATACGTTTTAACAGATACAATTTCGTTCTAATCCGCATACTATGTCCAGACGTTTCACATTTTTACTAACTACAACCATTGTACAAGCTTCATGTTACACTGAGCGTGATTTTTTTATTACATGAATACTGTGAGTCTTATAAGTTTTGCGATTGAGAGTGAATTATAATTTTTATATTCTAATTTTTTAAATATTTTCACCGTTTTACTTTTATATTATAACATTGATAATGATCCAACAAGGATCGAAACGTCTGTTTTTGTTTTGTTTATGTTTTATTGTTTATTGCCGGCAAATTAAAGTTTATATTATAACGAAATGACATGTTTTTATTCTGTGACTTCTTAATAATTTCAATTTTATAACGACTAAAATTTTAGGCTCGTAGCCCTTTTTCGTTCTGTTCTTAAAAAAAAAAAATAAATTATTGTCATAAGCCTTTTTTTTAAAAAAATAAGCTGTGGATTATTTTAAGATAGTACATTTGTAATACCATCCAAAAAATAGATTTTATCGTGCGCTCGGTGATACTCTCATTCCCGCTAATGAGAGATAATTTTTAATTCCGCTTGTCCATAGAGAGAGGCCGCACGCACACGCGAAAAAAAATAAATATAAATAACGCAATTCATCCCTGGTAAAAAAAGTTGATAGAGAATTATAGAAAAATCCTATCGTTTAGAATATGGAATCTGGTTCGTGAATTCACTAATTTGAATCAAATTTTATACAAATCTTATATATTAGAACCTGATACAATTATACAATAAGATTCATCTCCAATCAATCATAAAGCCCGCGAGATCGATAGAAAATGATACAAACATGCAGAAATATGAAGCGATAGATAGAAATCCAATCGTTCTATCAACTTCTTTTACCAGGGATTTCTATACTTGTGTAACTCCTGCAGACAGGACGCAGTAATAATTTATCACGCGGCGGATGATTAGTGCAGTAGCCAATCATTCTTTCGCTTTTATGGAAAAGCAATAATTATCTTGCGTTAATTTCCGCCGCGCGGCAAGCATTGCCGTGTTCTGTGTGCGGGAGCCGATAAACTTTCTTTAATTCACATGACAGATTGACGAATGTTTACGAAAATTGCATTATTTTCACAGTTCTATTTTCCAAACTAAAAAATTATAATATTAAAACAATTTTTAATGTCCGTTCTATGTTCCTCCACTGCTAATTTAGACTCTACAAAAATAAACGCGACATTTTCATGAATTTGTATAGGCGACACGTATATAAAAAATACAATTTTTAACTGCTTTTATCTCAGTACTAAAACGGTCAATTTCATTCTAATTGTACAAACACGTCAACGTCTTTTAGTATAATATATAATTTCAACTTCAAGAAATTCTGACTGTTCTCAATTCGCGAGTGCCTTAAGGTTCCTAAGTATTCAGCTAAGAACTCCGTGTTGACGGTGGTAACACCGAATCAGACGGCGCGGCGGCCTGGCGAAACGGTACCCACATGTACAAGCACCAGTCCACGTCCGTGCGTTCGTTTTCGGCGCCCCGAGAGCGAACGAGATAGCGAGAGAACATCCTTCTCGCTCTAGCCGCTTGTTTCAAGCGATCGAAAATGCTTTCTCAGCAATTTCGACTATTCGGCGTTTATCAATAAGGGGCGATGGGCTTTCTAAATAACATAAGTTTTAATAAATTGTAGTAATAGTATACCCCTCCCATTAATCTAGAATAGTATACCAAATCATGTCAAAACCCAACAGTTTACAAGAAATTTAATTATTTACGATTTTTCATGCGCCTTATATATTTCATTCATAGACCCGAATAACAAGAAGTTCGTGTGGTCGAGGTCGTAAGATGCGAGATTGGAACGCTGGCGATACCAAGTTCGAATCCTGCTTTTTTTCCCATAATTTTTCAGTTTTTTTTCTGAAATAATTAATCAAGTTCCCTAATAGCAAAGCCTGCGGAGACAGATTTTGAGCAGAGCCTGCTACCAATTTTTGATTGAAAAAAGACAACAAATTATACACAGAGCTTGTATTATCTGACATAGTTAGCAAATTGCTGTTAAAAATATGACAAAGCCTGTTAGACATGCCATGCCAGCAAATTTGTAGCAGAAACCGAACAAAGTCCTGTATAATCCGTCAGATTGAGAGCAGAATCTAATTCGAAAAACTCTGCTCAGTTTCTGCCATCAATCTGCTGACATAGCCTGTCAATAGGTTTTGTCGACAAATCCATAGTCAAATGCGGACCCAAGTAGCACAGTAACGCTTGCAAAGCGCTAAAAAAGCAGTTATATACGCTTTGTTAAGGCTTTGTAAGCGCTGTGTGCTACTTGGGGACACAGATGGCTATGATTTTGTAGTTAAAATCTGAGTTTTGTAATCAAAATCGAGTTTGCTTTTTACCCACAAATTGCTAACATTTTGTTTAGGGTTAATAATAAACTAACAAGGGAACACCAGGTCACAGGGTCGGAGATTTTGATGCGCTTTTTACAGGCTATTCTTGAGCGAAAAAAAAAA